AAAGTTGGTATATAAAATATTAAACCTTCAGATAGTACCAGGATAATTTCCTAAATGTGCTAATACAAATTGGTGTGGCGCTGTTGCATATACCAACCTAACATAATTAATGCTATTGAATACATATAGAATCATCTTTTAAGAATTTGGTTTTAATTAAAAGTAGGGAGTATAGTTATTACCAGATATTTGATCTTCCAGTGTTTATCTTGTACTTTCATACTTTACTATGCTGTGCCTATGAGTGGTTTTCTTTATATTTATCCTATTTGAGTGTTCCTGGGGGCTCTTGAACCTTTGCCTTATATCATTGCTCAGTTTTGGAAAATTCCAGGCAATTATCTCTTTATCTGTTTTTTTCCTTCCCTATTCTTCTCTCTCCTGAGACTATAATTACATGAATAATATACCCATTTTGCTATACCCCTTATTCTCTCTTTCTCTCCTTCATTTGTGGATATTTTCTACTGACTAATCTATCTCCCATTTACCCATCCTTTTTTTTTTAGCTGTGGATAATCTTCTGTTGAATATATCCTCATTTTGGTTATTTATTGCTTAATTCTAAATTTTTCATTTGATACATCTTATAGTGTCCATTTAATTGCTAGGTTTTTCATTTTGTTTTTTATCTTAAAAATATTTTTAAATGGCTTTTTAACCTCTGTCAGTTAACTCCGACATCTACATCTCCTGTAAGTCTACTACTTTTTGCCAGTTTTTTTGTTTCTGGTGTTATCTTCTGGCATGCTTAGTAATTTTTGATGGAGTGCTAGACACTGAAATATGAAATATTTTAGAGATAATTTGAAGCCCTGGATTTTTTTTTTTTCTTTCTCCAGAGATTTACTTTTGCTTTTGGCATGGGCATAGATTAGAGGCAGTTTACCTTATTCCAGTTAGGGATTCTCAACTGATTTCAGGCTAGGTTTTAGTCTTTGTAAGGGCTCATTTTTGTTGTTCATTCTTACAACTCAGGCATAGTCTTTTAGAGGTTCCAACGGAAAGCCTGGGTGTTCACTATCTTGGTGGACCCTGGACTGTAATTTTTATCTGCTCAGCACCATGAGACTCTGGAAAACTTTAAGTTTAGCATCTCCAGCCACGGCTGAAATTAGGAAATCCCATTCAACAAGCTTCTTTGGATGCCCCACCAGCAGCTCCTGTTTTTACATCTCATTGGCCAGAATTGTATCATATGGCTATCATTATCCACTATCCCTGGCTTCAAAGGGTATGTTTTGCTGAACTCATAACTGCCCTTTCAAAAAACAAACAACAAAAAAACTTGTTTTGCTACAATCCAAATACACAAAATGATAACAGATGTAAGTAAAACTGAACTTTTGTGTGAATGTATTAAAGAATACCAAATACATTTTCTACAGTGTTTACAGATTTAGGTTTCTAACCCTGGAAAGTAGCTTCAAGTAATTTAATAAACTTTTTGCTCTTGTTTCTTTGATAAAAAGTAACACACATTGGTAGTAGAAACTTAAAAAATCTAAATGAACATTTAAAAAATACAAACATTTAAAAAAATCTGAAATCCTACCAACAAAAGGTAATTTCTCTCAATGTTTAAGTAGATTGACTTGTAGTAATTTTATGTAGTGATATATGTAGAGTATATTTCATTTTTATAAATTAAACTTACATACCCTATTTTGCAACTTGTTTTTTTTACTAAGTATTATGTACGTATTTCCATGTTAAAGTATACAATGAAGTAGTGTTTTACAGTTTAGAAATTATACTTTCCTTAATTTAACTCATGCTTAATTTTAGTATTACACACTAATAGTATGTGTCTTGTCTTCTGTTCTGTACCCCCTCTTTTCTTGACCAGGTTAATATACAATCACGTTATTGTTGACTAATGCCAAAGGAATGTCATGTTAACAGCCAGTGGGAGTAATGAATAAGTCCTTTAGACTCTGACTCAATGATAATGATTCCTGGTGGAATCCTATTAAATATCTCTTTATTTCTAGGCTTTACTTGATACAGTGCTATGAATTGTGAATGAAATTATACTTTTTCTCTATTCTAACAGTTTTTATTGTCTTAGAAATAGAGATTCTGTACATTTCTCAAGAGACCGTTGGTAGTGCCTTATTAATGTACAGTTTCTACCATAAAATGCACACATGTAAAATAGTAAAACTGTTTTGAGATGCAAATGTTGGTAGTTGACTAGGTTCACTAAGTGACACATACATGCCCGTGTGACAACAAACATTAAAAATTCTACTTGGGTAATATTACATATTACTACAGATCATGGACCTCTTCAAAGTCACTTGTGGATAGCAGGGGTTGTGGATAGTAAATACAGGAGTAACAAAAGATGTATTTTATAAATTATATATGATGTTATAAATATTTGTGCCTAGATTTTTAATGTAAGATTTGTTTAATTCTAAATTCATCTAACTACTAATTTTACTACCACTGGTGCCTTTCTTTGGAGCTTAGCTTTCTTATGCAGACTTTTGGGTTAAAACCCATCAATATTTATTGCTTATCACTTACTATCTATCTAACTTTGAGCTTTGCGTGTAGTAGACCTCAGATTCACTCTTGTGTAACAGATTCCCTTAAAATATTGAGGTTGATCCAGGTTAGATTTCTGTGAAAGGATACTGGAAAGGGGTTGTTCCCAAAAGCAACAGTGACTAGATAATGAACTTTCTTGCCTATAATGAAACTACTTACATCATCAGCCCCTAAACATCACACCCCTGCAGTATCCTGTTGGCACTGGGGGAATTGGTCTTTTTGTCAGCTGGGTGGAGGTAATCCAGCACTGGATTCTTACCTAGTTCAGAATGGCTCATAGGCACTTTAGAATTGCTCATCACCAAGTTTTGAATTATGTTATTCTTAAACCTTTGTTTCTTAAGACATTGATACTTTGTTTTAAATTTATACTACTGAGTTTTTTAAAATTCATATTAATGGCTATTTAAGAAAGTATTCCTTTGTTTTCAGTGTGATATTTTTTTAATTTTTAAAATTATATTTCAATGATTATGCTATTACAGTTGTCCCAATTTTTCCCCCTTCGTCTCCCTCCACCCAGCAACCCCCCCCCCCACTCCTTCAGACAATCCCCACACCATTGCCCATGGGTCAGGCCTATAAGTTCTTTGGCTACTCCATTTCCTATACTGTACTTCACATCCCCATGGCTATTCTGTAACTACCTAGTTGTACTTCTTTTCAAGTATATTTTATTGATTATGCTGTTACAGTTTTCTTAATTTTTCCCCCTTAATCTCCCCTTTGCCCTGCATCCCCCAAACCTCCAGCTTCCCCCCACCCGGGCCCCTTAGTTTATGTCCATGGGTTGTACAGGTAAGTTCTTTGACTTCTCTGTTTCCTATACCATTCTTAAGCTCTCCTCATCTATTTTATACCTACCAATTATGCTTCTTATTCCCTGTACCTCCCCCCTCATTCTCCCCCTCCCCACTGAAAACCCTCCATGTGATCTCCATTTCTGTGATTCTGTTCCTGTTCTAGTTGTTTCCTTAGTTTTTGGTTTTTAGGTTCAGTTGTTGATAGTTGTGTTTGTTGCCATTTTACCATTAATGGTTTTTTATCTTATTCTATTTCTAAAATAAATCCCTTTATCATTTCATATAATAAGGGCCTGATGACAATGAACTCCTTTAACTTGACCTTATCTGGGAAGCACTTTATCTGCCCTTCCATTCTAAATGATAGCTTTGCTGGATAGAGTAATCTTGGATGTAGGTCCTTGGCTTGCATGATTTTGAATACTTCTTTCCAGCCCCTTCTTGCCTGCAAGGTTTCTTTTGAGAAATCAGCTGACAGTCTTGTGGGAACTCCTTTGTAGGTACCTGTCTCCTTTCCTCTTGCTGCTTTTAAGATTCTATTTATCTTTAATCTTGGGTAACTTAATAATGATGCACCTTTGTGTGTTGTTCTTTGGATCCAAGTTCTTTGGGACTCTCTGGGCTTCCTGGAAGTCTATTTCCTTTGCCAGATTGGGGAAGTTTTCCTTCATTATTTGTTCAAATTATTTTTCAACTTCTTGCTCTCATTCTTCTGGCACCCCTGTGATTTGGATATTAGAATGTTTAAAGTTGTCCCAGACGTTCTGAAGACTCTCCTCATTTTTTTGAATTTTTGTTTGTTCTGTTCCTTTTGGATGTTTATTTCTTCCTTTTGTTCTGCATCGTTGATTTGAGTTCAGTTTCCTTCCCTTCACTGTTGGTTCCCTGTATATTTTGCTTTATTTCACTTTGGGTAACCTTCCTTCTTCATTTTGTGACCCAGATTGCAAAATGAAATGAGCATCCTGATTACTAGTGTTTTAAACTCTCCATCAGATAGGTTGGCTACCTCCTGGTCGCTTAGTTCTTTTTCTGGAGTTTTGATCTATTGTTCTATGTGGGCCATTTTTCTTTGTCTCTGCACACCTCTTATGTTGTAGGGGGGGTGGAGCTTTAGGTATTTGCCAGGGCGGGGCAACCCTCTTTGCTGCCTTGTGGCGCTGTCTGTGGGGGAGGGGTTAGAGAGGGAACAATGGCTCGTTTGCTCTGCTCTATCCCCATTTTCCAAGGAACTCTGTCTTGTGAGACTGGGAGTTTCCCCCAACCTGGCAAACCCCAGCCGACAGTTTATAGCTAGCTTGAGTCTCTAGTTTCCCATTCAGACAGCCCTGCCTCGCTCTGCCATCTTTGGGGGGGGGGGGTCCTCTCTGCCCTCTCTGCCTGCCCAGCTGCTCAGTCCTGCCCTCCTGCCTGTCTGGTGAGTGTTTCTTTTAACTCCTTGGTTGTTGGAGTTCCATGCAGTTTGATTTTTTCTGGCACTTCTGGTTGCTTATTGATTTTAGATTGGTGGTTATCCTCCTTTTGGTTGTGTGAGGAAGCAAAAGGTTTCTACCTATGTCTCCATCTTGGCAGTAACTCTATTGAAGCTTTTTTTAAAAAAGTTTTAAAAATAGTAACTTGTAACAGCACTCTTACCTTTGGATCCAGCCAGTGGCTTCTGCTGTGTGTATCTGAGTGACCATCACTGATGCAGAGGTGTACGGCCTCCCGATCAGAACACTTCCGGAACTGGTTAGTCTCTGGGGTGTGCTCAAAGTCTATAAATTAGGACAAAGAAAATAATATTTTTAGTTATTAAGGAAAGCCTGCAGGCACAAAATATTGACTAACCTACATACAAGGAGGAAACTTTATTGCCTAAAATGCACTTAATATTAATCATCTAAAATCTGAACAATACTTCTGATTCCTTTATATGAAACAAAGCACAGTACCCTTGCCTCACGCCCGCGGTCTGCCACCGTGCCGCAGGCCAGTGGTCTGCTGCTGTGCCGCGTTCCCCCCTGCATGCCGCGGGTCCCTTAAGCCAGCCCCGGCTCGTTCCCGCGGTCCCCCGCCGTGCTGTGGGTCCCCTAAACTAGCCCTGCTTCGCTCCGTGGTCCCCTAAACCTGCTCTGCCTCAGGCCTACGGTCCGCCACCGCCGCCGCCACGGGTCCCCTAAGCCAGCCCCGCCTCATGCCCGCGATCCGCCACCGCCACCGTGCTGCGGGTCCCCTAAGCCACCTCCGTCTCATGCCCGTGGTCCGCCGCCGTGACGCGGGTCCCCTAAGCCAGCTCCCCTCGCTCCCGTGGTCCCCCACCGTGCTCTGGGTCCCCTAAACCAGCCCCTACTTGCGCTGCGGGTCCCCTAAGCCACCTCCGCCTCACGCCCGTGGTCCGCTGCGGTGATGCGGGTCCCCTAAGCCAGCTCCCCTCGCTCTCGTGGTCCTCCGCCGTGCTCTGGGTCCCCCAAACCAGCGCCGTCTCACGCCCGTGGTCTGCCGCCGTGCCGTGGGTCCCCTAAGCCAGCCGTGCCGTGGGTCCCCTAAGCCAGCCCCGCCTCACGCCCGTGGTCCGCCGCCGTGCTGCGGGTCCCCTAAACTACCGCCGCCTCACGCCCGTGGTCTGCCGCCGTGCCGTGGGTCCCGTAAGCCAGCCCCGCCTCACGCCCGTGGTCCGCAGCCGTGCCGCGGGTCCCCTAAGCTACCTCCGCCTCACGCCCGTGGTCTGCCGCTGTGCCGCGGGTCCCCTAAACAAGCTCCCTTCACTCCAGTGGTCCACCGCCTTGCCACGGGTCCCCTAAGCCAGCCCCCCCCACTCCCATAGCCCCCCCCCTCCCCGCTGTACCTCAGGTCCCCTAAGACAGCCCCGCCTCACGCCCGTGGTCCGCCGCTGTGCCGCAGGTCCCCTAAGCTAGCTCCCCTCGCTCCCGTGGTCCACCGCTTTGCCACGGGTCCCCTAAGCCAGCCCCCCTACACTCCCATAGTCCCCCCCCCCGCTGTACCTCAGGTCCCCTAAAACAGCCCCGCCTCATGCCCGTGGTCCGCCGCTGTGCCGCGGGTCCCCTAAACCAGCCCCCACCGTTTCCATAGTACCCCCGCTGTACCTCGGATCCCCTAAGTCAGCCCCGCCTCACTCCCGTGGTCCGCCGCCATGCCGCGGGTCTCCTAAGCCAGCTCTGCCTCATGCCCATGGCCTGCTGCCGTGCCGCGGTCCCCCGCCGTGCCGCGGTCCGCCACTGTGCCGCGGGTCCCCTAAGCCAGTGCCACCTCACGATCGTGGTCCGCCACCGTACCTCAGGTACCCTAAACCCGCGCCACGCTGCTCCTGCCCTCTGCCGCAGTGCCTAGGTTCGCTGTGCCTTGGGTCCTCTAAGCCAGCCCCGCCTCGTTCCCGGGGTCCTCTGCGGTACACCGGGTCTCCTGTGCTAGCCCCGCCTTGCTCACACGTCTGCTGCCCTGCCCCCTCAGTCCTCCCCCTTGTCCTGGGGTCCTCTCCCCGGCGGAGTTGCCCATCTTGGTCTCTGTTACCGCTCTGGTGAATGTTTCTTTAACTCCTTGTTTATCAGAGTTCCATGCACTTTGATTTTCCGGCATTTCTGGTTATTTATTGTTTTTAGATTGGTGGTTATCTTCCTTTTGGTTGTGCGAGGAAGTGAAGGGTTTCTACCTATGCCTCCATCTTGGCGGGAACTCTCCCATTTTTTTCATCAACACCTTGGCCTTTCAGTGTTATCTTTCCTTTATTATCGCCCCAACTAGATTGTGAGTGTCTTATAAGCAGTAACTGTGTGTTATACATGGATGAATTACTACCCACTCGCACAGTGCCTCCTAAAATATAGTAGATATATCATAAATTTATTATTTAAGAAAAATGTTGACAAATTGCATTACTAGTTTTAACTTAGTTTTACTGTTTTAGAATGGTATGATTTCTCTGTCTTTTAATGATACTGCCTGTGCCCTTATTGATGATTTGTCTTTTCTGGGAAAAGCATTGTATGTTTTATAATTAGTTTTTATTTCAAAATTTTCTAAAATACAAGTGTTATCCTTCTTCATAATCCATGATATTTGAGATACATAGATAATGGGTTGGCCAAAAAGTGCATTTGTTTTCTCCCCTTAGATGGCTCTAATAGCACTTAGTTGTCTTTAACTTCATTCAAAACAATTTTGTTAGATTGTGTTGTGACAGCTGTCATATCAGTGTGCATTAAAAAATCTTACCAAAATTGGTGAATTTTTGTGTAGCCATTTTAATATTGAAGATGGAAGAAAATATGCAACATTTTCTGCATATTATGCTTTAGCATTTCAAGAAATGTGAAAATGCAGCTGAAATGCAAAGAAAAGATTTATGCAGTGTGTGGGAAAGGTTCTGTGACTGATAAAAAGTGTCAAAAGTAGTTTGTGAAGTTTCATGCTGGAGATTTCTCACTGGACGTTGCTCCACGGTCAGGTAGACCAGTTGAAGTTGATAGCAATCAAATCAAGACATTAATTGAGAATAATCAGCATTCGACCATGTTGGAGATAGCTGAGATACTCATAATACCCAAATCAATTAAGATTTGGGTGAAAATGAAAAATGTGTCTCTTATTTTACAGAAAAAAATGTAACAGACTTTTTAGCCAGCCTGATATTTGTTGAGCTGGGCTTAAAATTCTTAGATTTGAATACCATGTTTGATATAAGCATTTGACTGCTTCTTTCAGATTTTGATGTACATTTTTGGTTATTAGTCATTTAACAGGAATTTAATGTGGGCAAAGCCATGTGCTAGGGATCACTAATATTTAGTTAGCATGTAATGAAATACTATGAACACCATGTGGAAAAATATATACTTTTAATTAAGATTTTTTCCAATAAAATAGACTACTCAGTTTATTTATTTTTGTCATTACAGGGTAAAGTTCACCTTGAATTAAAACTGAATGAACTGATAACAGAGAATGGAACTGTGTGCCAGCAGCTTGTTGTACAGTAAGTATATTTCTTGTACCAAAATCAACTAGAAATAATTCTCCATTTTATATTGTTTGAATCTTAAGCCAGCTCCTTATTTTAAGTAGTTCAGAAGCAAAATTACTATGCTACTTCTTTGTTAAATTGATTTCCAGTTTATTTTCTTGTATCTAGTCTACTTAGGTTATAGTAAGTCATTAATTAATTCAACCAAAGTTTATTATTAAATGTGAGTTAAATGATAGATATAGGCAATAGGGTGTTATAGGATCACAGATAAGTGTGTCTGCCTGTCAGGAGGAACGTGGGAAGGCTTCCTAGTAGAGTTCTTCTGGGAACTTGGATACCACAGAGCAGAGAGCACTGGAGACCTTGAGACTAAAACTAAATGCTTACTTTGAGATTACCAGTGTTGATTTTCACCTACTTTGAATTCTTTTTTTCCTCTTTTGCCTTGAAGTCATTTTTTTTTTTCACCCAGTCTAACCTTCTGACTGTTCTGGAAGTCTGTTCTTGCCTAATCCCTTATCTTTTCCTTCCTACCCAAATCCTTCCTCTGTGTTGTCAACAAACTGCCCAATATCCCTGATTTCTTCTGAATGTCTTCTTTGTCTTTGTCATGACTAATATCTGAGTGTCCCTTGAGATAGTTTCCTCTACTGTGTTCTCAACCAGAGGCTGTTTTTTAAAATAGCACATACTTTAGAGCCAGAGAGTAAGATAAATGTTACTTTCCTGTTGCTTCTCCAGACTATAATTTATTCTGTTAATTGTGAACACCCTAGCTCCTTTGAGGCATCCTCTTTCTACATAAATATATATGTTTATACTTATGTATTTTAATATGTACACTAAGTACCACTTCTAATTTACTTAATTAATTTTTTCTGAACTCTTTCAAATGTTACATATGATGTTACATATGAGTATATCATGACCCTTAGTATATCAGTGCTTATTTCCGAAGAATAAAGGTACTCTCTTAAGTAACTGTAGTAGAGTTACCAAACTCAGGAAATACAACATTGTTAAAGTAAAAGTATAATCTATAGTTATTATATTCAGTATATTAATCTACAGTTACTATATTTTACTTTGGTCAACTGTTCCAGTAATGACCTTTAGAACATTTTGTTTCTCTCCAGGAAAGAATTTAGTTTAAGAGCACATATTGCATTTGTTGTCAGGTCTCCTTAATCTTCTTAACCGGTGCTGGTTTTTAGCTTTTGTCTGTCTTTCACGGTATTAAGATTTTTGAAGAATACAGACCAGTTACTTTTCAATTTGGATTTCCCTACAAAAAAATAGTTAAAGGTGTATTTACAGGTTTCTGCCCTTAGACTGACAACATACAATGAAAATATTTGGGTTAGTCCCTCTTCCAGCACTCCCTCTGCTCAGTTTGGTTATGTTATATATTTGAAATACAACTAGTTGGATTGGGTTGGTTGGTTTGTATTCAGTTTAATGTTTTCCCCCATCCTTTTTGGTTTACTTTTATTTCTTGAATATGTAGAATAATATTAGCATGACTTCAAAAGTCCAAAGTATACCAAATAGCATTATTCACAAATGTTATTCAGTCCCTGCTTCCTGTACCTTGATTTCTATTCCTATAGTTTTGCCTTTTCCAAAATGTCATATGAACAGATTCATATAATATATAGTCTTTTGTGTCTGGCTTCTTTCACTAAGTTAACATAATGCTTTTGAAATTCATCTACATTGTTGCGTATATCAATAGTTTAACCTTTCTTAGGTATTTCCTTTTTTTTCTTGTCATAACTTGATAGATACTGTTATCCTCATTTTCCAAATGATAAAATTATATACAGATTAGTTAAATAAGCCCAAGTTCATGTAGGGAGTGATAGAGTCTATATTTGAACTCTGGCAGTTTGATTTTATTTATAAACATTTTTTCATTTGAGATAATCACAGATTTATAAGAAATTATGAAGTACAGAGGGGTTCTGTGTGTCTTACACTCAGTTTCCCTCAATGGTTATATCTTATGTAATTATAATACAATACAGAAACCAGGAAATTGGCCTTGTACAATATACAGTATATTATATATCATCTCATCACATGTATAGATCTGTGTAAACTCCACCACAATAAAAATGTAGAACTATTCTATCACTATAAACATCTTCCTCATATGACTTCTTTATAGTTATATCCACTCCTTTCCCCACCACCATCCCTAACCTTTGGCAACTTCTAATCTGTCTCCACATCTAAAGTTTTGTTATTTCAAGAATGTTACGTAAATGGGACCTTCTAAGTATGTGACCTTTGAGATTGGCTTTTTTCGGTCACATTCTTCCAACTGTTTTGTGAGTTTCTTATGGATAGAATGTAGTTGGGTCACTTTTTAAGTCTACTCTGCTAAGCTCTGTCTTATTTACTTAGTTAATATACCATTAGTTTATGCCATTTATTTTTAATGTAATTATTGATATATTAGGCTTAAATGGGTTGTCTTATTTTTTTGTTTTCTGTTCCTTCTGTGTTTTCTTTTTCTTGGGTTACTTGAACATTTTTTTAGAATTTCATTTTTATTTATCTGTAGTGTTTTTCAATCTATAGTGTATTTCTTTGTATACTTTTAGTGGTTGCTTTAGGTATTACATTGTACATGTATAACATCAGTCTACTGGTGTTGACATTTTACTAGTTAGAATAAAGTATAGAAATCTTACCTTCTTTTAAATCCTTTAACATTCGCCACTTGTAATACAATTGTCTTAAATGTTTCTTCTACATAACCTTGAGAACCACATCAGTTTTATAATTTTTGCTTCAGCATTTAACAAAATTTAGAAATGTTAGAAAGTTGTATTTGCCCATATTTTGACCTTTTCTGATTCTTTCTTCCTATTATTTTGCGATTCCTTCTTTTATCACTATCTTTTTAAAAAAGATTTTATTTATTTTTAGAGAGAGGGGAGGGGAAGGAGAAAGGGAGGGAGAGAAACATCAACGTGTGGTTGCCTCTCACACGCACCCCCTACTGGGAACCTGGCCTGCAACCCAGGCATGTGCCCTGACTGGGCATCTAACCAGCAACCCTTTGGTTCACAGGCTGGCACTCAATCCACTGAGCTACACCAGCCAGGACACTATCTTTACATTTAGAGAATTTCTTCTTTTTCTTTTAGGGTAGGTGTGCTGGTGATACTTTCTCTTAGTTTTCCTTCATCTGAGAATGTCTTGATTTTTTTCTTCATTCTAGAAGGATATTTTCATGGGATATAGAACTTTTGGGTGACAGTTCTTTAAAAAAAAAATGTACCACTTCCTTCTGGCCTCATGTTTTTTTATGAGAAATCTACTGTCAGTCATATTGGTTTTTTCTATGCAGGTAACGTGCTCTTTCTCTCAGGCTACTTTCAAGATTTTTTCTTTGTTAATTTTTTGTGTTTTAGCTTGACTGCGGTATATCTTGGCATAGATTTCTTTCAGTTTATACTGTTTAGCATCCATCCAGCCTCTTGAATATAAAATATGTCTTTTGCCACAATTGGGATATTTTCAGCTATTATTTCTTCCGATACTTTATCAGTTTTACCATCCTTCTTTCCTTTTTGAGACTTCAGTGGCTTGAATGTTAGATATTCTGTTATAGTCCCACAGCTTCCAGAGGCTCTTATCTTCCCCCCGCCCCCCCAGTCTATTTTCCCTCTGTTTTTGATTTTGGGTAGCTTCTATTGCTGTGTCTCCTAGCTCCCTGTTTTCTTCCTCCATCCTCTTCATTCTGATATGAGCCCATTTATGGAGGTGTTTTGTTTTTTGGGGTTTTTTTGTTGTTATTGTATTTTTAAGTTCTAAAATTTCCATTTTGTTCTTCATATCTTTTATTTCTTTGGTGAGAATTTATCTTTTTTGCTGAAACTTTGTTTTTTTATTTATTTCAAATGTTCAAAATTTCTCATTAAGTCATTTTTATGATGGCTGCTTTTATATTCTTGCCAGATTAATTTCAATATCCATGTTATCTCAGTGTTGGCATGTGCTGATTGTCTTTTCTCATTGAAGTTGAAAATCGCCTTTTTTTTTTTTTTTTGTATGATGAGTGGTTTTCTCTATTCTGGACATTTTGGGTATTATGTTATGAGACTCTGGATCTCATTTAAATCTTCTGTTTTAGCCAGATTTTTTTTACACTCTGCTGGTGGGGTAAGAGGAGTACTTATTCATTCTCGTCAGGTAGAGGTAGAAGTTTAGGTTCCTGACTTCACATCTGTTGATACTCCTTGAGAAGTGTTTTTTGTTTATGCTGAATGGAGTAGTAGTTGAGGCTGCTCTTGGTCCTCACCTGTGCCGGCTCTCTCTGGGATAGGGAAAAGTGCCTCATTACTGTTCTGTGCCCTCCACCAACACCATTGTTGGGAGCAATTAGTTACCCTTGCCTTCCCACTCAACCTTCTCCGATACCACCCTGGCATGGGGTTGGGAGTAGTGCCTTATTGCTACTAGGTGGGGATGGAAAGCCAGGTTCCCCAGGTGGTTTCTGTTGACACCGTCGGGGTAAGGGGCTTACTAAGGCCTGCTGAAGTCTAGATTCTCTCCTCAACCTTTGGCCTTTGTTGGTGGGGTAAGGATGGAGCCACAGCTTTTTTCATGATTAGAATAGATGGTTATTGTCTGGAAGTGGTTTCTGTCTTGCTAAGTTGCCTAGTTCCTGGTCCTTTGGCTACAGAGAGTTGGGTTTCTCTCAGGGCATTTTTTGTTTATGCTCAATGGTGTTTCCGGGTTGGTAGCTTCTCTGCTACTCAGCCAGGGATATGTAAAGTACAGTATTCCCCCTTATCTGTGGTTTTACTTTCTGTGGTTTTGGGTACGCACTTCCAACCACAGTTCATGAATAGTCAATAAAAAATTTCAGAAATAAATGATTTATAAGTTTTAAATTGCACACAGTTCTGAGTAGTATGGTAAAATTTCACACCATCCTGCTCCACCCAGCTCAGAATGTGAATCATCCCTTTGTCCACTGTATATGCTACCCA